CTGCCGGGGCGCCACCACCGCTCGCTTCCAGCCGCCTCGCGCGCCGAGAGCTGTCAGATGTGCAGAGATGCTCTGGGTACGTTCAGCGGAGGATTCAGCTCGGCTCTAATGAAGCTATAACTCAGACCTCCGAAGGATTTTTATTCAAAGCAAGGTGCGCCTGACTCATCGCTGTTCGCAGCAGGCTGGCGAAGCTCCGCGTTCCTGGGCTGGTTTCCTCTCCTGCAAATACTTCCCCTGCTCTAGCGTGTCTCAACCTTCAAAAGCAAAGGCGAGAGGGGAGATGCCGTGATGATGGTTTCGGCCCAGGTGGTTTCACGGACGTGGCAGGGGAGATGCCATCTTCTCAGCCTTGAATGGACTCGGGTGTAGTTGGAGGCTTGCGCGGCAGCAGGCTGACCCCTGAGAGAGTCCAAAACACCTCCAGTGCGAGGGTCTGGGCTACACAGTTTATGGCAATGGGGGATTGCTCTTGGGCTCTCCCTCGAGCTTGCTTCTTCGGCCTTTTGGCTCAGGGCAGGTGAGACTAGGGAGCATCTGAACGGCACCTGGCCTCCGCGCGCCGTGGCAAGGAGCAGCCGGGCCAAGCGAGCCCGGCTCCGGCATGCCCCGTCCTGGCGGGGAGCAGCCACCTCCGCTCCAAGCGCGGCAGCATAGCCAGAGGCGCGCGCCGCGTCGCCAAGCAGCTCGAACCAGCCAGGCTGTCTCCCTGTGCTCTCCAAGGAGCTAATTACGGCGATGTTAATGAGGCGCAGGTGCTAATGCTTCCTAGGATTTTAATGACTCTCCTGCAATTCTTCAGCCGGCTCTTGCGGCGCGGCCAAAGCAAGAGAGCTGTTTGGAAGGGGAGGGGAGCGCCCACCTTAGGGCAGCGCCACGTGGGTAGCATCGGGCCCTACTTGGGCTTCAGTCCGGGGAAAGGGGGTGATGCTGCCTTGCTCCACAGGACCCCCACTCTGTTCCTCGGCGGATGCAGCCCAGAGAGCTGATGTGTGGGGAGCGGGTGGGCGCACCTGGCATGCATCGCCCTGTCCTTTCCTTTCCCCCAAAGCACCCGTGGACGGTCCTCCACCGCTCGCTGCACCCTGGCGCACGGCTCCATGGCAGTGGGATCTGGCATGGGCCGCTCTCAGGGAGGGTCTTCCAGCTCTTGCTTCTCCCTAAGAGCGGCTGGAGGTGCAGGAAGGCCGTGGGCTGGCGTGTCTGGGCTTGAAACGCCATTGCCTGGGCTCCACTGGGTTTCTGCCTGAGCCAGTGCATTAACAGCGCCAGCGTTACAGCAGCACGCCTCGCAGCCAAGCAAGCCTTTTTTGGGGGCTGGTTTTCTGCTTTTGGATGCTTATCTCACTGGGGTGATCTGACCCCAGCCGGCTTCCTGCCCCTGGGACAGGGGGCTGGACGCGACAATCTCACGAGGTCCCTTCAGCCCTAATGTCTATGAAATCCTTCTTTCCAGTTTCTTTCCCAGGCCCCGGGTCGCTCTTGCGTCTGTGGGGAGCGGGTGGGCGCACCTGGCATGCATTGCCCTTTCCTTTCCTTTCCCCCAAAGCACCTGTGGATGGTCCTCCACTGCTCGCTGCACCCTGGCGCACGGCTCCATGGCAGTGGGATCTGGCATGGGCCGCTCTCAGGGAGGGTCCCCACTGGCTTGACCTGCCCACGCGTCCCCTGCACCGAGGGTCTCTGGAGCCCTCCGCAGCTCGCGTGTGGTGACCCACGCGCCTGCCCACGGCCACGTGGCCCCCGTGATGCCGGGGTCTGGTGGGGGGGCAGCGGGTGAGCTATGTTCCAACCTCCGCGCTGTGTCTAGCAACCTGCAGGCACAGACCGGACGGATGCTGAGCCCCTGCCATTAACCCTCTAGTCTCCTAGCACCAGGCCGCTTTCCCAGTCCTCACTGGTTTCCAGCTGGAACATATCAGGCAGCGTCTGCCGAGGCACCGAGCTAACAATAGGCATTTATTTCTCATGATTGGGACATTGAGCAAGGAAGCTGGGAGCCCGGCACGGGGAGAAGAGGATGCTAGATTTGGAGAGAGCAATCGAGGATGGGAGCGGCATTGTGAGATGCCAGTTCGGAGCTTGGGCTGCAGCCTCCAAACAGTTGGATGAAAATAGCTTGGTTGCAATACAAGAGAGGAAGCAGGATTATCTGCAGCACGCGGCTGAGGCATTGTGCGAGCGCTGCAGCTGTGTGGGAGCACGGAGCCAAGGCTAACGCCGCCTGCTGCCAGCCCAGGCTCCCACGTGCTCTCCACGGCACCTGGGGGGTGAGCCGGCGCCTCTGGACCCACCGCTCACTCACCTACGCAAGCTCCTTGGGGACCGGGCAGTGGGATAAGCCCATCGGCCCCAACCAGCGGACCCAGGTGTGGTGCTTCGTGCCTGGATATAGGGGACTTATAATGAAGTTAGGAAGCAGCAAGTGCAGCTCTGCCGGGGAAGTTCTCCATCGCAGCACACGGTGAACTGGGGAACTCACTGCCGCAAGCTGCTGCGGACGCTTGGAGCGAGAGCCTGTTCAGAAGGGGAGGATTAGGCCGGTGCCTGCAGGAAAGTACCAGCCGCAGGGCTTTGGCGTGGTGGATAGGAGTGCACCCTCTGAACCTGAGCTCCCAAAACCTCAGCCTGCTGCCCTGGGAGTGGAGCAGCGGAGGGGACTTCTGCACGTCCTGTTTGCCCGACCCCGACCATCCGCTCTCTGCCCTGGCGTGAGCCAGGCTGTTGGGCTGGCTGGGCCTACAGGTGGGCCGAGTGCATGGCCGTTTCGATGGCCATCTGCCTGTTTTAGGGTCTGGGGGTAACAGGTCAGCACTGGTGCCCCTCTTCCCTTGCCCCCCGAATGCAGCTGCCTTCTCAGATGCAAGCAGACCCCCTGCTTCCCCGCTTGCGGCTCTCTGGGGGCCACTGCTCTGGCTACAGCAGAGGCAGGGGGTTTGGGGAAGCTTGCTTTGCTGCAGGGTTTCCCTGGCTGTCCCGGGGGCAGCCACGGAGCAGCCCCTGCCCCGGGCGCTGTCCCTGGACCCAGTTGGGCACGAAGGCCAGCTGTGCTCTGGGTGCCACCTGCACTGTCCCTGCTGTGAAGGCTGGTGCAGGGGTGAGGGCCGCGACCCTAGAGAGTCGCTGGGCTCGTGGGGGCATAGCTCACTAATGACAGGCTGCCGCTTCTCTGGGGCAAGTTTTCCCTTTACTGCAATAGGGGATGAGTAAAGCTGGACGCTTAACCCCGTGCATGTGTGTTTAGCACTGCCTGCAGGCTTGCATCTGGCTGCATGGCTCATAGCAGCCCGACCCAGGAGCAAAGGCCGGATCCATCAAGGCCGTTCTTGACCCCCCAGAAGCAGCCCGACCCAGGAGCAAAGGCCGGATCCGTCCAGGCTGTTCTTGACCCCCCCAGCTCCCCCAGCAAAGTCCAAGGGGCTGGAGGGACGTCTGGAAACAGCCTGGTTGAAAAAGCAAAGGGCCTGGGGAAGGGACCCGGGCTCCGGAGCGAGCACAGCCGCCTGCGTCTGCAGAGTGAAATATTGCTGCTGCTCTTTTATGTGTAAATTGGTTCGGGTTCATCCATTATTTAAATAGCGACTCTTCTGCATTCAGGAGGAGCCGTAGAATTTCACGGCAGCTGGTTATTCATCGTTACCAAGGCTTTTGTTTTTACAAAGTGATGCTATGTGAAATGCGGCGTTGCGGGGAGCAGGGCTGGGGCAGGAGCTAAGCCAGGCCTTGCTTGGGCAGGTGGCGCCAGGGCAGTGAATGGCAGGGTTACCGGCCTGGTACTTGCATCCAGCTTGCATACGCTTGCAGGGCGTGCATCAGGTTGGGGGTGATTAGCCGGGGGCCAGACAACTGGTAAGGGCCTGTTTGGTGCCGAGGGGTCCGTGCTGGGGGCAGAGGGGTGCTCTGGTGGGTGCACCCGAAGTCTCTGCCCACGTTTTGATGCGTGAACACCTGAGACCGCCAACCGGACTGGTTTTCCAGTGCAGGAGAACCGTAGTCTGCCACCCGGGTGTCTCTCTAAGCATTTATCCAGCTGAAG